GAGAAAGCGAGAGGCTTTCAATTATTTGGCCTCTTCAACTGCTCGTGCTCTTTCCCAGAGGAAGAAATCCTCTTGTTTTGGTGTTCAAACCTGTCCTTATCAACCAGCCTGAGTCCTCTAACTCTCCGGGACTGATAGGCAGAGAAGGCAGAAGATTGTATTGAAAGCATGCTCAGTCCAATAGAATTTTCATCGTCTAGTTGATTTCCCTGAAAGAAATGCTCTGCTCAATAAAGGAGAGAAATCATTTTCTAAACACAAGTGGCGATGCATGCCCCTCAGTGACAGCCCCTCCCTCTTACTGTGTTACTGTGTCTGCCAATTCCACCTCCGCACACGCACACGTGGAAATCAATGTAACAAGTCGATGTACAAGGCAAGGCCTACGGCGCTGCTGATGTCCCCTTGCTGGACACACACCTTAAGCCTCAGAGCTCCCGGGGGCTTTGCCAGGGAATAAAATTAGATTCCAACATCTGCCACCATTAAGGGAAAAATTCCATTTCCATCTCCCATATGAAAACACTATAACCAATGAACAGTAACTGAACCTTGATACAGTAATGGTTATTACCCAAATCACTATTTTTTTTTGAACAGTAAAATTAGCGAATTCTGCTCTTATAATTATTTGAACGTTATCAGACTAAATGTTTGATAGAATTCCAATATGATTCACTTGAAACACACACACACAGACACACACACACACACACAAAAAAAAAAACCTGCTGCTTATTTGAATACCCAGAATATAAAGGGTATTCATTTGTAGCTATTCACATTATGTTTAAAGCATATCATCTTTTTAAAGTTGGCATTAGCCAGCTTTCCTACCCAAGCACAAAAATCGCCTACCTTCCAGGTTGCACCCGCATATTTTATTCAGACATTTCTATTAGAGGTAAAAACAATCTCATTTCTATTACTCATCGAAGAGGAGAGAGAATACATGGGAAATGGTAGCATCCACCGAGTGGGTTTCTTTGACTGGAAATACTTTGTGCATCCGTCAGTGCCTAGCACAACTATGATGTGTCTGGATCCATAACGTTCTGGGACTGCAGTAACTTCCAAATAATTGTGCTCCCTGTCATTCAGGGTATCTACCTAACGCTTTATCTTTTATATTTGAAATACGTGGAGAGAGAATAAAAATGTCTCTGAGCCTCTTGCTTAGCACATTGGAAGGCATTTCTTATTTGTGTATAGCACTGTGTCATTTTAAAGCTCTTCTGCATACATCATACCATGTAACCTCCTCCTCCTCCTGTTAACAGACTCTTGGGCTCCAAAAGGTTAACTAATTTCTCACTATTATTTATATCAACCACACAGCCTCCTCGGAGTCCTCTCACTTGCCCCCCGACCCTGCTACCCCATCGGGCATGAAAAAGTGTGCATTCCGGCCCCATGCTGCTAAGACTCTGTCAGCGAAGGCAGGAAAGCCCCCAATATTTCCACTATCCACGAGTCCAATATCCCGAATTCAGCTTTCCTGGGGCTGGGTTTAATTTCGGTACTGATGCTGGAGCCCTGAAGAGACACTACAACAGTAGGGCAGGTGCAGAGAACTGGGGGTTGGCACTCCTGTTCATTAGTCTTGTGTACAAGGGAACACTACGCTAGCTCACAGGGTTCCTCAAAATTAAATGCAGGTAATAGAGAATACAAGATGGGGTTTCGCAGAAAAGAGGTGGCGGATGCTAAGTCAACCTGGAGGAGGAATCAGGGAAGACACAGCAGCAGGTGGAGCTGGACGGGACTGTGCACCTGCTTTATCCATGTCCCCTCCCCCCTTCAACCCCACGTTCAGGGCCTCCTCCTTATTCTGACAGTCACTGCCACATGTCTCCAAGGTATAAATAGAAATGGAATTCTGACCATGAAAAAGGTCAGTCTGAGTTGAAGGTTTTTTTGTTTTTAATTTGTTTGCTCATTTTTCTGTTCCCATCACAAAAATCATGGTAGGAGAACAGAAGCAGACGACCACCTTCCTTGTGAAGTCCGATCTCCTCCTTCAGGGTTCCACACTGTTTGGGGACCGTCTTCTTTTTAAGAAACCATCAATCTTTCCGCCTGTTTTCATCAACAGGGTGGTGCCGACAACCAAACTACACAACCAGGAGAAAGCTACAGAGATGCTCTGTCAGGAGGTTCCGTAAGTTAGGAGGAATAGGCACCCGAGAGAATGAAGTGAACAGGTTCACTCCCGGGGTGATGCCACCGCCTCCAACGGGCCCTGGGACTCTCTTTCAAGCAGGAGTGAGAGACGGGCTAACAGCGTTGGGGGGTTCGGGAAACACCATCTTGGCAAACTCAGAGAAGCTGCCAAGCGACATGGCTGAAAGAGACTCATGGGGAGCTTTGCAGGATAGGGTTGCAAAGAGCAAGAACATTTAAAACCTCCCCCGGACATCACTCACCTGCCCTTATCAACCAACGGCCGCCACTGTCTAAAAAGATCCAAAACCAGTGACTTAGCCCAGGCAGGGAGGATTGAACTTATAACATTGAAAAAAATGAAAGTAAGCAAGGGGCTGCTAACCATAAGGGGCTATGCTACAGTCAGAAGGTTTTCAATCTGTATGCCACAAGAATTTTTAAAACATGCAATACCTGATTATTTAATCAGGGGCACTGACCTATTTTCACTTAGATTGTCAAAAAGATAACAACAACAACAAAAACCCACAATGAGAATAGCCAAAACAACAATAGCTGTCCAGTGTGAACGCCCTGTCTCGAACCATAAGTATATAGATCATATAATAAATAGAGTTCTATCATAATAAGGTTGCTTCCGATTGGTTAATTCATGGTACCAAAAAATCCTTATATACAAGGATGAGCACTTTTGAGCAAACTATAATCACTATTATTATTTTCTATAAATCAATCAAAAGTATACCATTTTTTTTTTTGTCAGATTGACAACAAATATGTTTTCTGGTGTGCCGCAGAATTTTAGTAATTAGTTTGTGTGTGCTATGAAACGAAAAGGGTTCAAAATTGCTGCTCTAGTCAGAAAGGAAAATGGGAAAGGGGGGACAAGATAAATCAAATAACCTATGATAAGCAAGCAAGTAAGTGAAAGGTATCAAAAAGTTTTAAACCAAAGAACGTATATACTTATATGCACAACCTATGGTCATGAGCAATAGTGTAGTGAAGGCCTGAGGGAGAAGAGATGGGGAGGGGGCGGGGGGAGGTATCTGTAATACTATCAACAACAAAAAAACTTTAAAATCCATTTTTCTTTGTTTTAAGCCTGACAGGAATACATGTCTAGTTTCTCTGTCTATTTTGGAGATTTAGGCAAAGTATTTGGCCTTGTAGGAACTTAAGTCTGTTGCCCTTGATAATGTAATTGGCTAGGTCAGAAAAGATGTAGTATGAGAGAGCAAAGCAAGATTACATACATCTAAATAGGAAATCCTCATCACGATTAGCCTAACAGCCCAAACAAGAATGCGCAGGGTGGGTGGGTGGGTGAGGGGTAAAGAGAGAACAGGACACTTCCCCTTAATGCATAGTCTTGGCATGTAAATGAAGACATCTGAAGACGCACACAGGTTTGCAGCGGCTCTAACATTCTATCATAATTAGAAACATTTCAAGAGCCCTGTAATTTCCAATCAAAATTACAGTAATTTCCGATATACAAGCCATGATTCATGACAGATTTTTACATTCCATGAGAGATTACGGTGGCCTGATGTATGACACGCTGAGTACGGCACTAACATAAACAATTCCGTTTAATGTTTAAACAGCACTTGATGTTTAGAATCTCACAATAAAAGAAACATATTATTGTAGAAATTATCACTTTGACAGTGATTGAAGGGTAGGCAGGCATGTGGCCTATAAAGCTATAATTTTTACAGTCCACAGCTTGAGCTTAATCATTTTTCTATAACACTTCCAAGTTATCCCTTAAGTATTTCATCCAGCCTATAACTTAAACAAGAACAACCTTTTCTAAAGCAAAACTCCCATCTAGGCCCACTATTAATGCTGACAGAGTGAAACTGTAGGAAAAGCTCAAAAAAGTAGTATACTGTAAACACTCTCTGTATATTCTTATCAAAGTTAACCACAGTGTATTATAAAGGAGGGTTCATTAACGATAATACAAATACACTTGTTTACAATTTCAATAGTTGTCGAAATCTTACCTGAGCCCTTGACTGCCCCTAAATTCTCCCCTTGGTAGCATTATCAAAGGCAGAGACAGTGGAGTATTCTTTGGGTCTTGTAAGATGTATTCTTGCTTTGAACAAGTGTGTATAGATAACTGTGAGTTCCTGCATATAGATGACTCGGCTTTCGATGAACATAAATTATCAATATACGGCAATAACACAGATGAAGAACTGCATTGTTTTGTTATGTTTTCTATCTTGTTTCGTAGGAATTTATAACTCCTCCAATTCCATTCTCCTTATAATTGATCAGAGGTGGGACAATTTTTCTAATTATAATTCCATTTGTGTGTCATAGCTATAGAAAACAAATCATTCATATGCAAAGATATACATGTGTGTGTGTGTGTGTGTGTCAATTTGTTTTAATAAGTACACTTACGATTTTTAGGTGCCAGAGCTGGAACAGAAGAAACTATAATGTTTCTAGTATTTTAGGATAGAAATCAAGGTCATTTAAGTAATGAAGAAACAACAGTAATTCAAGTTATTTGTTCCACTACAATGGACCAGACTGAAAAACTTCCTATACGTTAGTTTTACTCTCTTCTTCTGAAAACAACTATAAACTGACTCAGATATTTATGAAGAAGTCCTAGGTCTGGAGGGTGGCTATTGAAGGAAATAAAACCAAGTGTCCAGCATCAGAATCTGAACATTTTTGTCTCACCAGAGAGTTCTGTACGTAATCCCAGAGACAGTGACCTCTCAGTGGTGCACATGCATACTGAAAACAGACATCCTGGAAGATTAAGATAAACATTCTCCAGGCCTAATCGAGGCTCTTCCTACCTGGCTCTTGGTCGCGGCGACCTTCGCAAACAGTGCTTGGGACACTTTAGCGCGCTTCATTTCCTGCTGAATCTCATCATAAATGGAAGCATTAATGTTCATGGTATTGTTCTCTGGCTTCCCATTCCTCTCAGTGGCAATGGTCGCTGTTTTCACCTACGAAACATTGTGAGCATGACTGTCATTTCTCATCGGTCAAATTGTCTTGAAGCTTCCCAGGCTCAGCATCCCAGCTAGACACTGACGCTCCTTTAGATGATCACGATGATCAGCAGTGCAGTCATTCAGCTTCAGTTATTACCCTGAGATCGGATTGCTTAAGTTGAGGAAGTCACACTGTCACAGGTGATTGCCTCTGTAATATGACAGCCACCGCCAGCCAACAACAAGGAATTATAATGCCATAAAGTAAGTTTTCTGGAAAGCTAAATAGTTCCAAAGACTTGAAAACCCTAAACTAATTGTTTCCCAATTACCTCCCGTTGCAATTCTAACAAAGGAAATTCACAATTAAAGTCATCATGCACAGTGCTATATCTTCACTGGGTGCCTGCTGCCTGATAGACAATTGCATCACTAATAGTTATTATATACGATGGCCTTTTTTTAATGTTAGGTATATATATATATATATATATATATATATATATACACACACACACACACACACACACACACATACATACACACCCTTTCCTCGTGTTTCATTTAAAAAATTTCCCATAACAAAGCCATTTGCAGAGCTGCGTATTTAAATCTTCTATCCATCCATGAAACAGGTAGAGTGCCTTGCTTAATTATCAGAAAGGCTGGTTGCGTTTTACACGTGCCTGTCCAAGCTGTTCTGGGCAATTATTCCATCTTTTCCTGGCACCCCTGTCTGGGATTGTTTCTTTTTGACTTGTGGAACCAGACTATAAGAAAATGTTCCACAATATTTAACGGAACACTGCTGCGAGTTACACAAACTATATAATCAGTGGCTTAAAAAAATATCCAAAATGTATAATCCTGAATGGAAGATAAGCACGAGTGCTGTTAGAAATAATGATAAACAGGTGCCAGCAGAAAAAAAATGCCACTGATTTTTTGGGGGGAAATGAAATCACACCCTCAACATGTATTAATACTATTATCAATCTTTAAAACTGCAAATTTAATTTTTTTATTACGCAGTTATGTTGACCAGTCTGGTAAATTTATATATGAAGCATGTAACTGTCCCCCCCCCCTTTTCCCTTCTTACTGATAAAAATCTAAATGAGAAAGTTACCAAGGATGCAGGACCATGTTTTTCCTGGCAACGTGATTCATGAAGGGCCCGATTTTTTAGGGTCCTTTACAGAACCCAGGTTTTTGTTCTCCAGAGAAATTTAGCATCTTGGACCATTTCTCACATAAACTATAAACACTAGGAAATGAAATGCATTTTAGAATAAACGAAGGAGTTTTTTTGGCTGCAAGTCTTCCAGGTTTATTTCACACTGTCCCAAAATATTTGGCATCAAAAGTGGGACAAAGGTTATCCTAGGCTATTCAATTCTCTGCTCTTAGTGAGTAAATATGAGCCCCTTTTATTTGGGGGGGGGGGAGTGTGTGTGTGTGTGTGTGTGTGTGTGTGTGTGTGTGTATATATATATATATATATATATATATATATATATATTGATTTCATCAAGGAAGGGAGAGGAAGACAGACTCAGAAACATCAACGATGAGAGAGAATCATTAATTGGCTGCCTCCCCGCTACTGGGGATTGAGCCTGCAACCTGAGCACTTGCTCTGGACCAGAATCGAACCCAGTACCCTTCAGTCTACAGGCCTACGCTCTATCCATGGAGCAAAATCAGCCAGGGCAATATGAGCCCCTTTTAAAGGTACCTTCTGAGTCCTTTGGATTTCTAGCCAGTGAGCAAAATACCTCACATCTGGCTTGCCGTAGAGAGACAGGTAGACTCTTCCACCTTGACGCTGCCTAAGCACTGAAAAGACAAAGCTGTGAACCCGGTGGACCACAGGCCCGAAGTGAGGACATGGACGGTGAGGCAGGACAGGTGTCCAGCTGGCTGGGCCTCATTTGCCTCTCCTGCCCTGTAAACTGGAGACAGGGGTGGAGGCCAGATCTGCAGGGTCCTCCTTGCAGCTCTGTTACTCCACTATGCAAGGGCACTCACTGAGGTATATTAAGGACTGGAGGCCACTCAGCACATATATGGGGCTTTGAAGCAATAATCTGCTAAACACCACTTTAGGAGCCAGAAGAGTTAACGAATTACCATAAATTGCCTACAAAGTCGCTTTGGTGAGATTCACAACTTTGGTCTGGGGTGGTCCTGCTTTGAGCCTAAAGAATAGAGTTGATCACCCTATGGAGTCCCTTTTAATACCTATTTTTCTCGCCGCTTAAATGAAAGAGAAAAGAAAAGCCATTTCAACCGCTTTGGAGATTGGATGGTATGGAAATGGGGGTGTGAAGTCCAGGGCACTGGAAGAAGTAGTTGGCTGGTAGCAATCTGCTTAGCAATTGCTGGGAGAGAGCAGTCTTTGTAAACTCAGTGTTTCATGTTTTTGAAAATAATTTGTATTCTTTTGTTTTTTTTAAAAAAAAAAGGTGTTTAAGAATTTATCCTGAAGGTAGGCTCTAATCATTTGCCTCAACATTGTGATTTTTGTCTCTAAAAATTTGTTTGGTTTAATATTTTTTTTACAGCAATTAAAGTTTGAATCAAAAAAGCAAGATTTTTAAATTATGGGGGAGGGGGGGAGGTCAAATAATGGTTTCCTGGTAGCAGACACAAAGTAAAAGTGGGAAATAAGTGCCCATGAAACATTAAAAAAATAAAGAAAGTGAGAGCAAAAAACTGCATTTCTCATTTTAAAAAGATTTAGGAAAGTTCTTTATCATCTTGTTGGCTTAGATATACATCTTATCATAGAAAAGCTATTACAATTCTGGGATCACATTTTTTCCTAAACACAAGCGGTTGCTTAAGGCGAACTGACTTGGACGGCTTTTCAAAAAATATGAGGGCTGAATTTTTCCCCAGGTAAAAATGGAAACAAAAATCTTTTATACCTCACTCGACTAAGTACTATTTTAGCTTAGTACAAAAAAAAATCTTCTTTAATCCTGGTTTAGCTTTTAATATTATATCACACATTAAAATTCATCAGGTAGCTCATTCCAGGCAAAACAGACTACTCTTGGGCTCTTCTCTGCAAATAGCACAGGAGGCGAAATAAACGCAGTTGCCTTTCTGAGTAGCTTTTATCCAGGTAGGGTGAGCTACTCCATCATTACGGCGGCGCCGGGAAGCAGGTAAGAATCGAAGCTTCTGCCATGTACCTGCCCGTGTGGGGATAGGGCACAGCCCTAAGGTCTGCCTTTTATTTCACGAAAATCATGCCATCAAATTCCACTTTTGTTTCTTTCTGTATTGCTGAATGCATCAAGTCATACTACAAAATGAATGCTACACACGACACATGTACTACAGATTACATGCACAGTGCACTCAATGGACTCTACTGTGGTCTTCATTGGGGCAGGAGCACACACATAAAGTCTGATGTAGTTTTACTAATAATTATGAAAATAAACACTAACATTTATTAGTTGCTTATTATGTGCAGGGCATAGTGTTAACACACATTACCTCTAACATGCACAATAGCCCTGAGTAGGTACGATTACTGCCCCATTTAAAAGTTGAGAAAGTGCTCTTAAAACAAAGACATTTAAGTCATTTGTCCACAGGCAAGGCTGAGAGCTAAACTGAAGCCAGTCTGACACCAATGCTTATCTTAGAAACCATGCCAACTTCTTTATTTGGAAAAATTCTTATTTTTGAAGGCATGCTGGACCTGGATTTTGGTGGCCCTAAGTCTAGTTCTTAATATCTATTTTTTTTAGTAGTAAATGACTATCATTCATTTTACAAAGCCAGTCTGAATTTATTTTTCAAGGCATATCAACCATAATTTTTCTTTTCTTGGTAATGTTATGCAAGAAATGCACTAGTTAAGGCATTCTTATTGGTGATGGAATATAGTCCATATTATCCAACTTTTATATATTAACACAGTCTAGAGGGTTATGGTTGTAGAAACAATATTAATTGTTTTCCAAGTCCTCTAACTTTCCAAAATGACTGTTAATCGGAAACATTTTACAAGCATATAAATAAGATCTTAAAATAATGCTGGTCAAGGAATTTATAACAAATAAAACTTTAATCATGTATTAAGCTCCTGCCCATAACTAGACCTGTTTCATTATATTATAGAAGAAGTTGTTATAAAGAGACAGAGGGTGCAGCTACCAGGTTAAATTAATGATATATGAACTTTCATGAACTTCATACGTTTTCTAAAGCATAAAATATCACACCTTCCTTTAGAAGAAACTAAAGAATTACCAAGGAACTGTAAAAAATAACAGGAGGAAATTATACAACTAATATAAAAGTTATAATTTGGTAAGTATAGGCCTTCAAACAGTTCCTATGAAAACAGAAATTGCTAATTTACCCCAAAAGTCACGCATATTAAAACATACAAATAAAACTAGAGGAAGCAACTTAAAACTAACCTGTTCTGTGGAACCAATTTCCACAAAATAATCATTAATTATTATTAATAAAACCCCATTTAATTATCTTATCTGGTTTAAACTCAATCTACTAAGTAGATTCAGAAAAATAGCCTTTAAGACCAAGGAGTTTTTGGAGGGGTTGGGTTCTTTCAGATATTTCCATACAACCGAAGTTAAGGGGCAATATTCTTTGTGGGGGGTGGGGGTACAAGGAGAGAGACACCAAAGAACTTATATACATATATGCATAGCCCATGGACAGACAGGAGATAAAGGGGAGATAAAATTGGAGATATCTGTAATACTATCAAGAATAATTTTTAAAAAAATGAAAAGGGGAGAGGGGGTAATGTTCTCCCCAATCTCAGAAATACACAGGGATCATCTTTCAAACATTCAGTATTTTCTATCCAGATCACATTCTTGTGCATTTTCCTAATCTAACAATAAAACTTGCTATCTTCTATGGCAAATAGAAAAAGTCTCCAAGTTTCTTTTTCCCCTTTCTGTCACATTCGTTTATATTTTTGAGCAGGTGGGGCTGAGGTAGGGGGAAGAGCAACAGAATTCACAGGGGATTGGAAAACTCTAAGTGAACCTTAGACTAGTTTTTATCATTTTTCTCCTACGGAAAGGTTGGCCTGAGGATTCAGTGAGTTAATATACATCAAGGTGCTGAGAAAACTGTGAAACATTATCAAGTACAAGGTAATCTTGCTTCTTGAATTAGCAGTTAAAGCTGTGAGAATACACTATCATTAAACAGGTCTGGGCCAGAGCCTACTACCCCAGTGACAAGCAGCTCCCAGCATGGCTGCCCCTCCTGCAGCGCAAGGGACAGGTGTGCAAAGATGCACCTCACCTCGGCAGGGCCAGAGAAGAGCCTCGGTGATTCCTGAGGCTAGTCTGGGCTTATCCAGGGATGGCATTCCTAAGAATAAAACCTAGAGTTTGACCCAAACCAAGGAAGTCCTTTCTTGAAGATGATTGAGAATCTGATGAGTTTCTCAATAGTCTAGGTGCTTGATCTGGTTTGAACCAGAAACATCTAAACCATCTTCAGTATGACCTAAAGTCTACAGAGGGACCTGGAAAGGAATCCAATTTCCCCAAGCCTGAAGGTGGGCGGGGACCTGTGTCTGCAGCATGCAGTTCACTGGAAAGAAATCAGAGTTGGGTTTTAACCCAAACACACAACTTGTCTCACTGTACATTTCAAATCTCTTCATTTTTGGGGAAAATGAAATGCACAGTGATTTCACAAAGACTCCTCTCTGGCAAAATATAAAATTAAAAAAGACAAAATTTTGCAGTCTGGTTCCACTGCAGGTACTAGGTAGGTTTCAACTGCTGCAACAAAATACTATTTCAACTGCTCTATAACACTTTTTTTCCCCTTCAAATCTAAAGTACTGGTTTGACAATGATAACACTGTTAATCTATCAAAAAATTTTTTAAAAAATTTAATTCACTGAATTATTATTAAAGAATAAAAGGTGAACAAAATGATTGTGAGCTCTACTATAATAATATTAGAAGCCAGATGCATGAAATTTGTGCAAGGGGCTCAGCCCTCACAGCCCTGGCTTTGCCAGGAAGTCATTCCGAGGGTCGTTCTGCTGTTCAGTCTAATTATCATATTAACGCTTTATTATATAAGATTAAATAATGCAAAAAGATTCTCAGTGGGGCAAATAAGATACTATAAAGATTTATATTATAGCAGTGAAATAAAATTTAGACACATATATCAGATAATCATTTTGAAATTTGAATGATAGAAACATTTTTTTTTCTCCTCTGAAAGAGTTTCACTAAGAATCTACAGTATCTACATGCTTTATATGTACAACATTGTCAGAACTACCTGGTTAAGGACTTGGTCTCAATGCTTCTTGAGAACAAATGCAGCTAAGGGTGCTCAATCAGCTAATCAATAATTCAAGCCAAGTAAATTATATCCCCTATCCAAACTTATCAGCAGCTACAGATAGCTACTGAAGAGTACCTTAATAGTATATGGAAAGAAATAACCCTTAAAAATTAATGTCACTTTGCCTAAAGAAAAAACAAACAAACACTTGATTGACTAAGGACAACAGAATTCCATTTGGAAAAAAAAAAAAAAAAGAAGCACTAAAATCCCAGGAATGTTAAAAACAAAAGCTGTATTAAGAATCATTAAGTTAAATATGTTGGATACATTTTTAAAGTTCAGACTCGTCTTAAATAAGTCGTTCTTTCGTTGGGCTAACAATTCTGTGTATTAATGCTACACACCACACACTAAGTATTAAACCGAGTCTAAGTACAGTATTTTTTGTTTAGTCACTCTTACAATAAAAGTTACATATCTATATAAAGCGTTACTTATTCTTTTTCTTAAGAAATATTTTATAGAAGTCTTTATAGACCAAATTCAGTAGCTGTGTGTGTGTGTGTGTGTGTGTGTACGCGCATACAGGTGAGCTCTATTATAATAAGAATATATATATATATATACACACACACACACACACACACACACACACACATATTCTTTCTATTCTTCTAGAGAAGCATGGCTTTCTTGTTCATAATGATAGTAATGACTCCCTTACAGTCTGCTCCTATAGACATCAAGGCCTAATTAATTTTCATTAAATGATGGACCTTTGCAACACTTCCAAAAAAAAAAAATAATAATAATTTCAAACATTACAACATACAGTTTAAGACCCTCAACAAGTGGCTAAATACAATATGTACTCCCTATTTATGGAGTGTCTGTAGCAGTTTATGTTTAGTGTTAAATGAGCTTTTTCTATAATTCTATACTTGAAAATGTATTACTTTTTACTATTAATGAAAAGAAATGATCATCAAGGTTTAATTTCATCCTGACATGAGGTTATATAAATTCTTTAAATTCTCTTCCATATTCAATTTTTATCCAGTTTTATTGATCTTATTTTTAAGAACTGTACATGCCAGAAATTACATGTGAGAGAAATATATTTGCTTGTGGATTATAAATCTAATCCACTATCAAACTTGTATCTGATAGTTGGTATTGAATATTAGCTTGAATTTTCATAACAGTTATGAGGCTACCTTTTAAACTTGGTTAAAAAAACAAACAGCATAGATGCACATACACAAAGTTACCTGGAAGAGTGACCTTGGTCTTTCCTAAAAAGTGTAAAATTTTGGGAAACAGAAAATGTGCCCATTTCTGGGAAAATGCATGGAATTCCTCATCAGCTCCACTTAAAGCTGCCTTCCAGGATTGTATTAAACTTAATTATGAAAGATTACAAACGAGATGCTGTGTAATTGGCACCAGCTGCATTTCGTATCGGAAAGCATAAATACAAATAGAATTATTTATTTATTTATATTTACTTACCATTCCAATGGCCGTTCTAACACTTGCCGGGAATAAAATGGACTGTATTACTTCCCCCCTCCTCCCCCCCGCCCCTATTAAGCTTAGAATACTTCTTTACATAATAGTCATAGAGATAAATATCCCACTCACAGACTACTTCTCACCGCCCAAAGAACCCCAAGGAAGAAGCAATACGAGGCAAGTTTCTTTCCCCTTAATGAGTAGCTTATTGTTTTTATACCATAAGTAGTGCTTGGGGTCAAAAATTTCCCCACGCCACTCTATGCATGTGTGTGTGTGTGTTTAAATCTGTCCACCTATCTTTCTAATTCCTTGTTGCGATTCTTCATCAGGCATTAAAAAAAAAAAAAAAAAAAAGCCAAAGGGAAAGGCGTAAGGAGAAGCAGCAGAATTCACCTGGGGAGGGCGGCTGGGCGGTGTGCTTATCAGGGGGGCAGGACCCATGGCCGAGGCGGCATTCAAGCTCCTTTCCCTTTCATCCTGGTAAATTCGGTCTCTTTCAGCTTCCGGTAACTGCAAGAAATTCTGCATAGCCCGAAGATTTACCAGCAGAGACTGGGATGCGGTCTTGGGGTCCTCTTCCTTTCGGAGAATCTCTGAAAGCAAGCCCTGCAGGGGAAGCATGAAAAGGACAGGGTGAGCGAGCCTGCCTCCCCGGCTCTGCCCGGACAGCGGCGACCCTTCCCTTTTCTTCTCCACGCTGCTCAGAAAAGGAACAGGCAGAAGCATTAATTCTGCGGAGAATATATTAGTTACAATTGAAGTGGTAGAGAAGAGAGCCTCAATTGTATTCCTAATTTTATTAAGCATCTGCTTTACATATACCATAAACCGAAACTGCCTAATTGGTCTCCTTCCTTTGAGTAGCTTAACTTGCCATGAAATCTTTCAGAGGGAGACGATCGAGGGAAGTTAAGAATAAATGAAATGCTCATAATACGACAGCATGGAACGGTAGAGTTCTCAAGCTGCCTAGACAAAGACAGTGGAATGCCAACAGCCTGATACGTAAAGATGCAAAGCTATTTCAGGAGAAATAGAACTTTCAAAGAAAATACTAGAAAAATGAACTACAACATATTAGGGGAAAAAAAAGAATGCTATGGCCCAGCGAGAAGTGGCTCATTTGGTTGAGCATCATCAGGGCACAGATCTGGGTTGCGGGTTCAATCCCCAGTGGGGGCACCTACAGAAGGCAAAGGATCTATGTTTCTCACATCGATGTTTTTCTCTCTCTCTCTCTCCCTCTAAGCATGTCTTCTGGTGAGGATTAAATAATTAAAAAAAAAAAAAGAATTTTACAAAAGCATCATCTAAGATTAAGCTATGTTTTCACAGACAGTATTTAAGTTATTTATTTGAAAATTATTAGAGTCGATGACAAATGATTCTTTGTATTTATCATTTAAGGAAACTACACTGGCAGACCCAAAGACTAAATACTATCTTGCTATGCTATATCTCTTGGTAACAGATTGAAATTCTGAACTTCAAAAACCAAAGATTAAATCTGAAATACATAAACATCTCTCCACATTTCAAAAATCTGTGATAGCATGCCACAGAAAAGAGTATTATCCAATTCTGTAACTATTAAATTTCTTGAGAAATAAAAATATGTATTTCTAATAGAAGGGACTTACAAACCATTAGTAAAGTCCTTTAAAGTGTTTCTTTCCACAATAGAGCACCCCCCTTTTATTAATTTTTGGAAGAATGCTTTAAAAAAATGGATGGTTTTCCCAGTTTTAGTTATGGGATATATTACATTGAAAGACTAGAAAATTTTTCTGACCATTTGATAGGGGCTGAGCAGCTCTTACCACTTCAATCTTGTACATGAAATAATGCCTGGAATACCAAGGCACATTTGGTATCTACATTTAGGCAGAATATCAGTTTAATACAATATAGCTCAGAATAAAATGTCCAGACCTCAGTATAGTTTGCAAATTTTACTTTCCAACAACTCTGCAGAAAGGGTGAAAGGATACATTTGGGGAAGGGGAGATCAAGTGCCAAGTCAAAATGAGTAAGTCCCAAGATGATAACAGTTGCGTTTTTTCACGGTTTCCTAGAAGTGCAAACCCAGTTTTTGGTTCTTCAGGGATACTGCCCAAAGAACCCAAACAGATGCAGACAGTACAGTCAAGTACAGACTGCCATTATGATTTGCAGGCTGCCGTGAAAAAAGAACCTCTAACAGGCTCAAGGGGCTTAATCTCTCCCTGGGTCTCTGCAACGGAAGTCAGGAACCTGGACCCAAACATTAAGTTTCACGGTGAGATGCGTAAGGGAAGAATGCAGGGAATGTGTCCTTTCATTCCTAATAGTGACAAGTAACACTGCAACTGAGTTTACACAAGAGTAAAACATCCAGCCAGTTTAACTAAAATTCAGTCAAACAGGCAGTCAATCATCCAGCTATTTAATTTGCACAAGGGCAACTAATTAGATCGACTGTGTTGATGTGTCACATGAAAACCGAAAAATACAGGCCTTAAAAACATCTGAAAATAGGTGTAAAAAAAAAAATAATCCATATTCTCCATTCTCCCCTACCAAATGGTATGTGTTACAAGATGTGCTTGGCTAAGTAATAAACATCAACTACACAGAAATAGAGATAGAAAAATACAGTCTAACAACTAAAATGTTGTAATTCCTTGAATATTCTAATACTCATTTTTGTTATTCCAGCACAAAGCCTATTCTGTGTTTGAGAAATATGTACTAAGTGAATAAATTATGTGTATTCAGACCACAAAAGGAATAACATTGCAAATGGGTGACAGAAACTTAGATATGCTACCCAAAGGTATATTCTAATGGTAATTATTAATTTACTCAAGGTGAGCCTTCAATGAAAAGTTTACTATGGTGCTCGGTTAAGATGTTGACCTACACTAAATGTTCAGTAATTTAAAAAAAAAAATAGATTAGGTTAAGAGGAATCCTATAAATATTGCAGATTGGGGGATTTGAAATTAGACATTTATAAAATACTTCCCCTGACAGCAGAGAACTGTGGTGAGAAAAGCAACGACCTGGAAAAATACATCATACTACTCTATCAAGTCTTGCTAACATAACACCGAGCATTCCTGTATGGCTTACGCAGCAGGTCCCGTGGGAGAGGATTTAGAAATTTCTCTACCTACAGTTTGATGTTGGCATGACTTCCCATTTGAGCACGTAAAGTGTTATAGGGGCAAAACATTTTATTTCCACTTAATTACTTGGCTAGAGCAAGTGTAGTTGTTCTGCTTGTAATATGTTGAAGGTCTAAAGCGATTATTTCAAACCTTGGAACACACTGAGCTCTAAACCAGCCAGTGTAGACATCTTGGGTGTTTTTAGAAACCTTTGGGGTTTTCTTTTTCTTTTCTTTTCTTTCTTTTTTTCTTTTCTATTTTTTTTTTTTTTTTTTTTTTTTTTTTTTTTGGCCCAGGCTTTCAATGAGGGGAGTGCCCCCTGGTGGAAATGCTTGAAAATATTGTTAGGAAATGTTTTGATTAGAATGTGTTAATTACCAAAAATAAATAAATAAAAAATCATGTCACTTGAGAATAATTCTGGATGCAAAATGACTGCTATAAGAATTCGGATGTGGGAATGAACGGTTTGGTCCTTTTCAGGTTGGTGTCACTTGAAATAGTTACATTTATGGATTCAAGACGTATGCGGCCCGTTTCCATTTGCCTATAGTCGAAAATACAGTTCAGACTTGCCAAGTTAGGTCAATGTTACTTGTGGTAATCCCTCGTGGGGGACAGTAAGAGGGATCTCTTACCAAAAATTCTTCTTCATGCTAAAAAATAATGTCCTGTACCTTATTTGCTATCTCAGCGAATATGTCGAAACAGCAGGACGAAAATATCTCAATACTGTGTACCATAGGTGCTCAATAAATTTGTTGAAGAATACTAAACAAAATCATTAGCCGTTCTTGTTTCTGAAAAGAACTTGAGAATTTGTGTGTTATGCCATAAGTTACCAGCACCTCATGAATATTAATTTTATTGGAAATGAGAAGCTGCTTTTCATTGGGACTTCACATCTTCAAATAACTCGATATGTTCTCTATATATGAAAGCATAAAATGGTTCTGCATTCTTACACGGTAGTTAAATAAGAATTTTTTTTTTTTTTTCAGTTCAAGAGCAAGCTTACTGATGAAGTCCTAAACCTTTTTTTACATTCCAAAAAGAGTTTACAAGTTACTGCAAGTAAAATTCATTAGTAATTGTAAAAGAAAAGAAAAAAACCTTCAGTAAATATTATCAGTACTTCCAAATGCTAATTATGAATTCTTTAAAACAGCAGATAAGCGAAAGAGACTGCCAATCCGAACAAAAAGCCGGTCTGGCCTCCCATTTGTCTCCTCTTTGAACATAATCACTGATTCAAATAGATTTTTATCAGTTTCATGGAACTTCAAAGCCTCAGAAGGAAAATATGATTTGATAAAACCTCCCTACTTTAAAAAAAGAAAATACGTAGAATATTCTTCAAGGCTACCTGCCTCTGTGGTCTGGTGAATTTTTAAACACAGGCCCAGGTGAAAGACCATTTTCAAATTCCACCTCCTGCTCTGGACTTCCGCCAAGTAAGTTATAAGCAGACACATTTATCTCTGTCATTGGGGGAGGCTAAAGGAGAGCTGTCACGTTGGGGTAATAGCACCTTTTTACCTTTTATTCAATAGTGATATGGATAGTGGACTTTGCTTAAATTACACTGTGAAGAATTATAGAAACAGCAGCAATCTCTCTTATACTTAAGCAGGCAAATTTCTCTCCACCACATAATTTACAGAACTCAAATTCAATAAAACATTACATGATGGTCCATTACTGTTATCAGTTTTGAATAATCCATCTTCATTCTTTATTTTACTGGAAAATAAAGTGTGCCAAAGATAAGAGGAGGGGGGAGAAAAAAAGGGAAAAAAAGCCATGGGGTGGGATCAGAGTGAAACTCTGGGTTTTATTTCTAAAAAGGCACTAAAGGATATATTTTCTTCTACTGCCACCTTTAAAGGGCAATAACGCAGAGAAGTGAACTGGAAAGGATAAATCTCGAAGCTTTGGCAATTATTTTTAGCCATAGGTTTCCATTAAAAAGACATCAAGTAGGAATAACTGAATGAATGACATATGCTAAAAGCCGGTGTCTTCGGTAGCAATTAAAGAACATATGCCCATTAATTCAAAAGGGGAAAAAAGTACTTAAAACAAGTAATTATATAAATTCTCCATAAATTTTCAGAAAAGGTAGACTTAAAAAAAAAAAATAGTCATGTGGGAAAGTCTTGAGAGAGGGGTATGATTTCATTTAGGAGACCCAATTAGGATGATGAGAAAATTCTCCAATTAGGAGCTAAAACATGAAATTCAGGATTTTAAAGTTATACCAGAGCTGTCAATGACTGAAATTTTCTCGCGTCGTACCAGCATTATCTATTTATTATACTAATGTTTTAACACACTGTGTACAGGGTACCAACGTCTTTATCTGATCATGTCATATAACTGCATTGGTACGTACATATTTTACATTAATTTTTTAAACCTCGGGTTGGAATGAGTGCACGTTGCAGTAAGGGCACACAATGTGTGATGTGTGATTTAGCTCTGCAGAGCTCCTCCGCCTATGCATATGCATTAGCATGCGTATTTTCGTACTCCACACTCACACCATACACCCTCACTCTGCACCTGCTTTTATTGAAACGCATACACTTCGAAATAAACACACTACATGCATTCATATGAATGTATAATCATTAAAATAAATGCAGCTGTGTGAGTGTGCGTGGCGTGTATGTGTGTGATGGTTTTTAAATATGACACCAAAAATACATGCATGCTTGCTTGCGTGTTCAAAAGCTGGTTCCCAAGGAGTGAACCCTTCACTGTACATAGACAATGACTGCCGGTTACATCAGACTGCTTCCAACAGGGCCCAGCGTCCTCTTGGACGGAGGGGTACCCATCACCGATGCAAAGCTATGGAACCAAACCCCTCTGCCATCCTGAGCTCCAAATAAGATTTCCGGAATGACTTTTTCTAAACTGGCTACTACGAAGAGAGAGACACTGGCATCATGCTGCACCAGGTTTTCATTCTCTCACTCTCAGAAAAATAAAGTCACTGTGTATCTTTTCAAGAGAGATTAATAGGGCACAAAAAGAAAATTCTACCCTCCTTACAATAACAAATTTTATAGATATTTGTGGACATTGTCCATGTTAGAACCAAAGGCAGAAAAAATGGTCAGCTCTTCAGAGTAATAGCAGGTGCATCATAACCCAAGAGAAGGAAAACTATACCAAGGGGTGGGGCCTTCACCCTCCCCTCAGCTGGACTGCCTTGTCATTCTTCACCATATGAAACACGCTTTCCCTGGTGCTTTAAGAAATAACCATTTGCTCCGTTTTTTAAAAAAATGCTTTATCTGTAAATCTGCATGTCATTTGTGTCTACGTCAATGTGCTCTTTGTCTGTGTGGGCTTTTAATTCAATTCAACAACCCTATCTATTTTTTGCCCAGTACTGACAACTTCTAGCAGTCACTGCTATTTACAAAAACAAAACAAACTGCTGCCAGAAACAGGAGTATCTAGCTAGATGGCTGACTTCTGATTCATGTACTCATCCATTTCATTCTTTTTTTTAATGATCACCCCCCAACTGAACATAGGTGCCGTATTAAATTTACCAGCTAATGATAAAACACGTGCTTCAAGTTGTTAAAATATCCAAATAGGCAAAACCATACAATTTTAACCTGAGACATAACCTTCTGCAATCACCCTTTTAAAAAACAGACAAATGATGTACAAAATACAGATAAAGAAACCGAAAATAAACAGAGTTAAAGGCTTTCTCAGGCCTCCTAACTTAAGGCAAGCCAAAAATAAGCCACAGCTGGGATTTTCCTAGGTATGGACATTCTGCCAACAAGGAATTAATACTAGATTATTTTTGTACCAGAATTTCATTCTTATAATCATGCAATAAACAAAATAACTTATATATGAGAGGAAAGTATGAGTCAGGTCCCCAAAAAAGCTTGACAAAAGGAAGAACAGTGGTAAAACAAGAACACTGAAAGGACATAATGTCCTCATTCTAATCAAAGTTACATGTGCTTTTGAGGTTTGTTGTGTGTGTGTGTGTGTGTGTGTGTGTGTGTGTGTATGCGCGCGCGCGCGCACACACGCGCGCCTGGGCCAAGAATAAATACCTTATACATCATACTAGTTTCCAAAACAAGGAATTAAAAATCCTCTCACTCACAGCTTAATAGAATCAATTGGTTTAGGACTTTTTTCTCTTAGGACTCCTGTCTTTTATATCACCCTTCCTCCCTGTCCTTCTGAAACTTCTTCTAGGATGAAATCTGCCGAGGAATTTCCCAGGAGGACAAAGGTGTGGACTTGACGGGGACAGGCAGACTGAGGCCTACAGCTCAAACCTACCCCGGAGGCCTCTGAGTGAGCTTAGGAGGAACATTAACAATGTGAAGAGGGGAGATAAATACCTTTTGGTGAAAAGTCATATATGTTTTTCTAAATGGCTGCTTAGAATTAAATGGCAGGAATTGTGATTGAGTTCTAACATGTTTTTTTTTTGTTTTTGTTTTTTTTTTGTGTGTGTGTGTGTTTTAAGTTGTAGAGGAATTTCAATAGAGCCCATGGATAGACAGCTGTCTGGTATGGGTGGTGATATACTAAAGATCTTAGGCTAGAAGCCTGGAGTCCTCCCAGTGGCCTTGGCCAAGTCATGAAAATCTCCTCAACCCGCTACTGCTGCCTAGGACTCCATTGTGTAAGAGCGCAGGTAACCCCAGTGTGAAACATATTTCATATTCCATTTATTCTTTTAAGGCCCCTGAACCCGGATCATGCTGTGCACAGCTTCCTCTTGGCAGAGGAAGTTCAAAAGAAGGAAAATAATGATTACATTTAAGCACCTCCAGGATCAGACAATACGATCCATGAAGAGGATAAAATGTTAGTACCAAGTAAAAGTATAAGCATCAAGTGTAGACAACACTGAAGAGAGAGAGGGAAAAGATGGAGAAAAATCATTAATGAATAGAACAAAACTGACCTGAGTTCTGTTAAAAGCCACACGTGCAAATACTGCCTGGGAGATTCCTGCCCGTTTCAGTTCATCGCGTACCCACTGGTAGATTTCAGAAGACACCTCTGTGTTGGTTGAAACCTGTTGCTCCAAAGGCTTATTCATAGATCTGCTGACAGGGGGAGGGTGGTTCAAGTATTGTTGGTTTAAGGACTGCTGGGCTAGAAGTCTATTCACCGCGTACTGCTGGTTCAGCAGCTGAGCCATCACCAGCTGCTGGTTGACCAACTGAGGGCTGATGGGCGTGGACACGAGCCCGGGGTGCAGATTCGGGAGGGGGGTCCGGACGGAGGGCTGGCCGCCATGGGAGAGCTGCGCGGGGGACGGGGGCTGCTCGGCAGTGTTCCCTGGGACCGGCTGCTGGCCGAAGTTGACGTGGTTGGCACCTTGCTGGGACAGTTCAGAGAGACTGTCCATTTCGACTGAAACAGATAAAAGGTAAAATGAAGCCAAGTCCACAAGGATGGGCATTGGTGCAAGCATTTCTGACCATGTCCTAAATAGAGAGAGTAGAGGCACAGGGCATGTGAAAGGTCCAATTAAAACAAGAGCATTTCAGGAGAGAATTCAATCTGCTGTGTTTTTTACTTTCCTCCTCGGCACGATTCCATAGACGTTAAACGTGGGACAATACTTCTGATCTATTTTATCATGTGGTTCAGAGTTAAGGCACAGAATCAATGATTTTCATTGCTAGCTTTGGAGGTCAAACTGTTACTCATTCTCATTATTCCAAGGAGGCTGATAAGCATTGTTTACTCCAAGGTTGTTTCTAGAAGAATGACATTTGCTTAATAGCATCTGGAAAGAAGGAGCTGAGTTAAGAAAAGACATCTTAGGCAATAAACAAAAAAGAAATACACAAGTATTTTCTTATGACATATATATAAATGATATGATATCATTTATGATATATATATATATATATATATATTATTACTCTAGGCAGAAGGTCTGAAAGAAAAAAAGATAACATAAATATGGTCAACGTTCAATTCTTACCCAGACATAAGTATAAAGAAGTAATCAATATAATAAATAATGAAAGTGGTCATCATGACAAGTAATAATAACTGAGTGCATATTGAACATGGGACTGAATATCTTACAACACAGTTCGCTTTATTTAAGTCTCATCATCCTCTGCAAACATTTCTTGGAAGGAGGCGAGTGATTTATAGGATTACAAGCCAGACTACCCGGGGTTGCTAAGACCCAAATGTGTCTCGGAGAAGCCATGGGCTAGCACCAGATGCTCAAGACAATCTTTCAAGGAAGGGGCGGAGAGCTGTTCTGGTGCAAGGGTGATCCTGTCATGGCTTTGCAATTTATCACCACCCACCCGAGATGGACGCTCCTCCTTCTCAGCCAGACCTCTCACGCACACTGCACTGGCTGAGGAGCTCAAAGTGTGTCCAATGCTTTGTTGCTGCAAGCAGGAGGCTGGGGTGATGCTCCTGACGGAAAAGGCTGAGCATGATGCTGTGTGGACAGAGGAGAGGCTTCCCAAACAGCACACCATCATTTCCACGCACAGATTGGGCTTTAATCACCATTTCTCTCTCCATTCACTCAGGTTTTATATTTAAGGGAATGTATCCTATATGTCTATAGTCACTGACAATATGCCGAACAGAACTAAGAACTGGGGAAGAAACCTTCCATTTCTACCAGTGATATCAGCCCAAGTGGGCCATTCACGGGGAATAGTAATTCAAGCAATTATTCCAAAAATGATGCATTGTCTTCATTATAGCTCTAAGCTATAAAAAGGCAAAAAGAATCTGTTTGGGTAGATGGATGGTTTCGCTTGAAATATTAAAAGCTAAAACATGCTCAACATTCAGGTTCTCTTGTCTCTTAAAATCTTTAAGGAAAAGTTACTGTTGTTGTCATAAAATGAATATAATAGAAGTAAACAGAAATAAATGTCAAACAGGGCATAACACCATTCTCATATCCCATTCTCATATTATCCCATTCTCATATTATTATTTGGAGGGTACAAGCATATGAAAGAAAACATTAATAGAAATTAAAGCATTAACCTCAATCACAGTGTTTGCCTTGGCAAATACTAACAAACTCAATAGAGATAAAAATGTCAAAATCTAAATGCTTTTACCTGTCATTTTACACTGCAGATAATTTTAATGTACTTCTCCTTAGTAACAAATATTGACCTAAAGTCCTATGTTAAGATAGGATGCTCTACTGGAATTAAAAGTTCAGGGATGATGCAATGATTTTTTCTGGTGTGGACAGTACAGCGGTATGTTCACTAAAGCACCTACAGGCAGGGAGGGGGATTAGGAATAAAAAAAAATCTCTGGATCTCAATTGTGAAAACTAGAAATCCATTAATTTCCTTAAAATCGGGTGTAAAAAAAATAGGCTCTTTATCTTGAACACAAGCAAAAAGCATAAAAGCATGTTTTATCTCTGAGAGAAATCACGGCTAATATTAGTTATTCAAGGTCTTCACTGAGATGTTAAAAAATGACAGCTTCCCCCTCACCCCCTCGAGTTCCTGCATGTCTGACAACCAAGTCAGTTTGGCTGATTTAAACACAAACATTTATTGAATTTAATTATCTCATTATACTCGTACCCACTCCCCACCCTCAAAGAAACATTCTAAATTGATCTCTAATTGGGCAATCAAAAGACCTGGCTTGAGATGTGACTTTGATAAACCCCCCGAATGACATGTAATGGTATGTAGCCACCGAGGCAACGGTTTTTGCTTACCCATCATATCTTTTGTCTTCTTGAAATGTTTGTACCACCTTCCAAATTCTTGACATTTTGCTGCCGAGACATTTGCATAGTAAGTGCTGTTCACAATGGAAGAAATCATACTCTGTGTGAAGAGGGGGGAGACATTTGTAACACATAGTGGCACACGGTGGAACACAGAAACCATTTCAATTGTGCAAACCGCATTTTGTTTTTCAAGTCAATGGAGCGCCAATGCGTTTGTGTTTCACACTTAACTTAAAGCCTCCGCTTCTTAAAATTCATCAAGTAGGTCATCAAATGCTTATTTAAATAGAAAACAACCGCCCACGGAGACCAGGATAAAGCCTGTCAAACCCTCAGGCTTTGCTCTAGTATTTATGGAACTTGCATTCATGTCCTCTGTTCTAGGCTGACAAACTTACCCTGATCCCAATAAACCCAATTCTGTGAAGATGACTTTATGACTATGGGTAAATGCTACTTTGAGGGGTTTTTTTTTTTTTTTTTAATGTGTCTTTATTGTTGAAAGCATTACAGATGTCCCTCTGTATCTCCCTATGGACCCCCTCCACCCCGCTCCCACTCCCTCCCCAGGGTCCTGCACAGCTACTCTGAGTATTAGTGAGTGTACTCTACATCCTTGCTCCTCAAAGGATGGCCCAGGGATCAGCACTGTCAGCATCACCTAGAAGCTTATTAAAAAATGCATAATCTTCAGCCCCACCCCAGACCCAGTCAATGGGCAGCTGCATATGACCAAGATCCCCAGGGTCTTTGGTGTGCATTAAAGTTTGGGATACGCCTCTTTGCTTTCCACTCCTATTATTGGGTTTCCCAATGGAGGCACATTAACTGCCTTAACATGGACCACATTTAAGGAAAAAATAAACTACTCAGAGATCCTCTATCAGAAGGGGGGGGGAAATTCTACAGTTGTATTGCTAGCATCATCTACAGTCAAGCTTGAGTTTTGAATTTCAAACTAACCATCAAACATTTAAATATATACATTTCATGCTTACTAAATTTCTCAAAGACACCACACACACACACAAAAAAAAGACCTGTTCTGTCACTTGCCTTCATCCTGAAAACAGTCAACAGTTTAATAGAAAAATGAAGATAGAAATCATGATTTCGATGTATTAGGAGTTTGAGGGGGGAGAGAGTGAGACTCATTTTCAAACAAAGGAAAGTGTTTCTCTTCCCAGCAAATTTTAGTTATGGTAATTTCAGTGACTTTAATCCACGTTATTTTTAACCATACCACCCCTCTTCTCTAGTAGCAGCTAAATTAATTTCCAATTGCATCTCAGGAATAATTAAGACTTTGTAGCACCAACTCCTCTCCTGCCCCTTCAATCCCCCCCTCTGCAGAAACCTGAGAACTTCCACTTCAGACTTCAGTTGGTCTTTGGTGACAGAGTTTACAGAGGGCAGCATTGTTTGGGAGCAGCGCACAACCAGAAAAGCCAGTTTGGGAACAAAAGTATTTTTATATAATTATCTCCTTTAAGCGACTTCTAATTTAAAGCTCTTTTGGTTATTATTGACTCTCCTAACATCCATTAGCAGTGGTAATTCTATAATAGGAACACATTCCTGTAATATGCAAATCTTGGGGATCTTTGAAGAACTTATGGTGAGGAGGATAAGCAAGGATTGCATTATTTATGTAAAGCACGGGTTATCTTAAGAAAAATTGTGACATCCTTTTTTTTTTTCTTCCTTTTTGACACTTTCTACTTTATAGTCCTTTCCTCATTTTATTTCTCTAAAAAGACATCCTTAATGGGCTCATGATACCCTGCCATTAATCTAGGAGCTTGCAATCTTACTAAGAGCCTCCCCTCAGTCCAGAGTACAAAAAGATACTTAGCGAGGGTGCCAGAACCAGAGCCAGATTACCTGATCCGGTTAACCATCCGTCAGCTTCAATCACCCTTACTCCATCGTAATAATGGATCAATAAAGTCAGACACTAATAAAACTATTGAGATCGCTGATGGATAACGGTGATTCTGAAAATGGATGACAGTTGATGTTCTTCCACTTTGGTTCAATTTTTTTAAAAATTATTACTCTTATACCTAGACCTTCTGGCAGTTTCTTCAATGTTACTATAATAGCACATATCAATTTTAGACGTAGCTTTATGTCTTAATTTTTCCTGAAATATTTGGAATATCTACATTTTCCTAAGGTTTTTGACAAATAATCCAATCTACTTTAATTTGCCAATATGTGAAATTTGCTCTTTGGTGTAAACCTACTGTGTGCCTGGCTGGTACGCGGGCAGACAACACAGAGCCTCTGCCTAAAGGAAGCTTGCAATCTATTAGGAAGACAGATAGCTAAACAGATTATTTCAATTTAATGTGTTCAGTGTATCAACTGTGAAATACATGTCTATGGGAGAAAAAAAAGAAGATACATAGTGTGAGGGGAAAAAAATCTGAAATATTTTTATACACTAGAGCCCATATGTAATAGTGCTATGTAGTTCATTATTATCCATATGTGAAAAATAATATCCATATGGGCACCATTATCAAAGCCTCCCCCTGCCCTTGTTTAACCCTGCATTGGTAGCTTCTGTCCTTAAGCGACTTTCTAGACGCTGTTCCACCCTGTGGAGTGGTGTGTGCTCAGGAGACTCTAATGTAAATATTAGTCTAAGCAGGACAGAATCAAAAGGCTAACCCACAAGTTATGACGTATGCCGAAACAACTTTTTAGATTCTCTATCTTTCCATGCTTTTTGGGGAGCTGGGAAATATTCCATAACTCAGGTAACTCAGGGCCACTTCAATTTTCACTGGAGCCATATACAGTACAGGTCACATGTAGCCACAGGTAAGATACCTTATTCCTTCTTCTAGCAAAACCCTTACTGAAATCTCAGGCACGGCATCTGACGACACTAGTGCGTTTCAAGGCCAGGGAAAAGAGAACTCAGGACCTTACGGGGCCCATGGCATTTGAAAGAGCATATCCAGTGTCATATTCTTCAATTTGGGATGTCATAAAGAAACACCTACTGTTTTGATAATACAAATGACAGAAAGTGAAGACTGACAACATAGGTGGCAGAGATGGATGTACAAAGGGGACATCAAGAGCCATGATTTTCAGGAGAGGGGCTTGGGGTTCATGTCCATCAAAAGGAGACACTGGTTTCAAAATATTACCCTAGGCTGTGAGTCCATGCAGATCTGGGTTCCATGTTACTTTCCAGCCCAAATGCCTGGCACGTAGTAAACACACACTCAATGTTCTTTGATGAAAAAAAAACGAGAATCAGCTAAATCTACCTTAACGTCCAGGATCTGCTGCAAACTTCCAGTGTGACCCCAGCCAAAGGAACTCCTCTAAAACAGGTCCCCATCCTACTAAATGGCAGTGACAGTGGCACTTGCAGCATGGGGTTGTTCTGAGACTCCATTCCAGCATTATTTTTTTTCATTCATTCATTCATTCATTCATTCACTATGTATTTATTAAACTCCTATTATGTACCAAAAGCATGGGACAAGTGACTAGGAAGTACGGCTCTTCAAGTCATTACTCATCTGCCCTTGGACAGACAATTAATAAACTAATGAATGTGATATCATTAGCACAGGGCCTGGAACATATCGAGCCTGGACTTAAGCGGTGTTAATTACTACGACAACCCTCTGCCACCATCTCCTCATTGGGCTCTTATTACAGGATCAGTTCAAAGGCTAATCTGTGAATAACAAAGGCACCCGGTAAAATTTCAAGGGATATATATTTTAAGTCAAATACATCTTCTTATGAAAAGCGTAGGTTGTACTCTTAAACTGAGTTACAAGTCACGTAGGAACAAGGGAAAGCACCAAGGAAAACGGTGTTTCCATTTGTTGCCGTATTCAAATGTGGTGGTGGCTTCTAAAGTTGGCCTGCACCTGGTCGCTGACGTCAGGAGGACACACACCACTTCTCTGACTTGGATGGTCGGCCAGTGCCCTCTCTAATTTCTAGCTAACAGCTGTTCAACCCTGAGGGTGTATTTCAGGTATCTCTGCTCTGCCTTTCCCCACTTCCCAAACATCCCACACACGGTACCACAATAGCACTTGTCCTGCTGCTGATTTTCTACCAGAGATACCTTGGTTCTTATCTCCAAATAGTGTGCACTCATCACAGACAGGGCTGGGAATGTATTAATTGATCAACCAAAGGACACTGAAATAAGCCATTACTGCAGACTACCAGAAACACACACACACACACCTCTCTCTCTCTCTCTCTCTCTCTCTCTCTCTCTCTCTCTCTCTCTCGTTCTTAAAACTTAAAGGTAATGACAGCTTCATTGTTAAATGAGACTTTTAACATCATCACTTTTGGCAGTCACCATAAAACTTGTAAAGAATCTTTGTTCATTCGTTTGCAAGAGATCCCTGCCCAAGCCTTTCCAAAATGCAATGGCACAGATGTCTCCGAAGTCACCGTGCTCGCTGGTTATGTCATTCCAGAACCAGTCCTCCCTCTCCCATGTCTATTTATACGAGCTCTCCAGAGCACTCGGAGAAAGACACAACTGTCAACGCAAGTTTTCCCACTCGGCGGCCAGTGCGTGTTAACACGTGAGCGTTTGGGGAAGGACGGACTCAGGCTGACAGAACTCACGTCGGCGTAGATCCCAAGTTCAAATGCTACACACAGCACCGGCCAGTGAATCGGCCACGGCTTTCCGTGCTGGGAAACAGGATTTGGAAGTCAGCAACATTGGCCGTGGGTCTCACAACCCCAGTGTGACACGACAGGGCTCGTCCTGGGAGCCGCGTTGTAAGCTTTTCTAAGATCCATAAAGCACATGTCTACTCCCTAGGAGGGGCTCCGTGCTTTCTGGGAGTCTGCTGAAGTTCCGATCTGAAAGGATGCCATCTTTGCAGAAACCCCGGCACTCTAGAATGATGCCATCTGCCACAGGCTGAGCTTCCTTCGCAGCCAAATACATTATTTATAACCTTTCTAATTGTGAAAAGGTAAGGGTGGAATTTTTCTAAAGCCTGACGTAGATAGAGGGAGGACCTTCTGGACCTGGGCTCAAAAATACCGCAGGTCTCTAAATAGGAAACACACACACACACA